ACTTTACTGTGGTTTGAATGTGTCCCCAAAAAAGTTTGGGTTAGAAACTTAATCCCTGATGTTACAATGTTGAGAGGTGGGGACTAATGGGAGGAGTTTAGGGTTTCACCGTCATAAATGGATTAATACCAATTATAAAAGAGCTTAAGGCTGCAAGTTCAGTCTCTGTCTCTCTCTCTCTCTCTCATCTCTCTTGCCCTTTCACCTTCTGTGATGGGATGACATGGCATGGCATGAAAGCCCTGGCTAGATGTAGCCTTGTCAGTCTTGGACTACTCAACTTCCGGAACTGTAAGAAGCAAATGTGTATTCTTTATGAATTACCTAGTCTCAGGTGTTCTGGAATGCAGCACAAAATGGACTAAAGCAAAACCTAAGCATAACTGATCAGATATGATTTCTCCTCAATCCATGCATAAATACATAGCTTAACAGTAAGTATAATCATGGTGTCTACAACTGTTTTTTTACTAATTTTAAATATATTTTATATATGAAACATTGTCTTTTTAGTTATTATTCTAACTATGTAATACTGTTTCTAGTTGCTATGTCATAATTTAGTTACATTGTTCCCGGTTTCTTTCATTTTTCTTCTCTCTCTTCTCTCTCTGCTACTGTAATGATAATACTCTTTCCCACAGCTTTTGTTTTTATTTTTGGAATTCTGTTGTTAAATTTATTTTTTAGTATAGGATTACTAGATTAAAAATTGTAATTGGTTTTAAGATTCGTTTTATATGTGGCTAAATTGCTTCTTATGAAGATTGAAACTATTTTTATTGTGCAGCTAGCAATGCATAAATGTACCCTTGAAGAATCATGAACATTAGATTTTTCATTGTTCTTTTATTTTGCAAATAAGTATCACATAGTACTCTAACAGTTGTTTTAATTTGTGTCTTATAATTAGTGATGAGGCTGAACTTTTTTTCCACCTGTTGGTTTGCTGATTTCATTTCTCCTTTTGTAAGCTATCTTTTGATATGTACTCAAGTGGTTAAAAGTATGCCTTCAGGAGCCAGAATTTTGGAGTTTACATCCTGGATTTGCTACTTTTTAGTTAATGCCTTGGGCAAACTATTTTCCTACTTTACCTTTAATTTTTTTTTATTGGTAAAATGAGCATTATAATAATATGAACTTTGTTAACTTGCATTATGGAGTACATGATTTAAGACATTTTAGGTATTTAGAACACTTCTTGGCATGAGTTTTACCATTTTTATTTTATTTTATTTTATTTTTATTTTTATTTTTTGAGACAAATGCCTGCTCTGTCGCCCAGGCTGGGCTGCAGTGGCCTGATTTCGGCTGCCTGCAACCTCTGCCTCCCAGGTTCAAGCAATGCTCATACCTCAGCCTCCTGCGTAGCTGGGATTACTGACACATGCTACCACAACTGTCTAACTTTTGTTTTTTTTGTAGAGACAGGGTTTCACATGTTGGCCAGGCTGGTCTCGAACTCCTGAGCTCATGTGATCTGCCCGCCTCAGCCTCCCAAATTCCTGGGATTACATGCGTGAGCTACAGCGCCCGGCCAAATTTTACCGTTTGTTTTTATAGAGATTTTTAATAAACTCATTATGTATCCTATATATGTAAGTTTTAACTTATTAGCTTATTTAAAAATTGCCCTATTTTGGTTTCTTGAAATTTGTTAATGCAGGTTGCAAGAAAGTCCAACATTACGTTATTCTACTTATTTGCTTTGATTTTCCTAATCGTTAAAAAGATATTCACCAAATACAAGGAACAGAACATTGTATACACAAAATTCTCAATTGTAGTTTTTAGGTTTTCTTCCAGAAATATCAAGGCTATGCAGAGTGTATTTATGGAAACATAGTCATATGAATGGAATTACCACCGAGAAGGCCTGGGGCTCTCCGGCAGAAGATCGATATCTCATATGCACCTTTTGTAGTTTTGGTTTTTTTGTTTGTTTATTTGTTTTTTGTTTGTTTTGAGATGGAGTCTCACTCTGTCACCAGGCTGGGGTGCAGTGGTGCAGTCTTCTCAGCTCACTGCAACCTCCGACTCCCTGGTTCAAGCGATACTCCGGCCTCAGCCTCCTCAGTAGCTGGGATTACAGGCACGTGCCACTACGCCAAGCTAATTTTTGTATTTTCAGTAGACACGGGGTTTCACCATGTTGGCTAGGATGGTCTCGTTCCCCTGACCTTGTGATCCACCCGCCTCAGCCTTCCGAAGTGTTGGGGTTACAGGTGTGAGCCACCGCCCCCGGCCTACTTTTTCATCTTAAGAAAATGATTCATTAGGCTTATGCCTGTAATCCCAGCACTTTGGGAGGCCGAGGTGGGCAGACCACTTGAGCCCAGAGCCCAGGAGTTCAAGACCAGCCTGGGCAACATGGTGAAACCTTATCTCTACAAAAAATAGCTCTATAAAAAATAGCTGGATGTGGTGGTGCACACCTGTAACCCCAGCTACTTGGGAGGCTGAGGCAGGAGAATCGCTTGAACCCAGGAGGCAGAGGTTGCAGTGAGCCAAGATCATACCACTGTACTCCAGCCTGGGTGACAGAGTGAGACTCTGTCAAAAGAAAAGAAAAGAAAAGAAAAGGGTTCCTTAAGGAAATAAAAGAGTCTTCCCTCTAAGGTATATTTACAACAGCTACTTTATACCTAGGTGTGAACTAGGACATTAGGAAGTAGTCAAAGCAATTTTGGGCAAAAAGAATAAAACTGGTGGCATCACACTACCTGAAACCAAAATATATTCAGAGATATAGTAACCGAAATAGCATGGTGCTTTTGTAAAAAGCAGACACATCGGCCAATGGAACAGAATAGAGAAATAAATCTACATACATTCAACTGATTTTCAGTAGAGATGCCAGAAACGTACATTGGAGAATGGACAACCACTTCAATAAACGGAGCTGGGAAAACTGGATATGCAGAAAAAATGAAATGAAACCTCTCTCTCTCACCATATACAAAAGTCTACTTAAAATGGACTAAAGACTTTAATGTATGATCCAAAACTATAAATCTACTAGAAGGAAATATAGAAGAAATGCTTTAGGACCTTGGGCTCGGCAAAGATTTTTATGGATAAGACTTTAAAAGCACAGGCACCAAAGACAAAATTATTTGCAAAATATTCATTTGACAAGGGATTAATATCTAGAATGTACAAGGAACTAAAAACAATTGAAAACCAAACAAGCCCAAATAATCTTCCTGAAAAAAATGGGCAAATGAACTGAATAGACGTTTCTCAAAAGAAGAAATACAAATGGCCAACATGTATATGAAAAAATGTTCAACATCACTAATCATCAGATAAATGCTAATCAAAACCACAGTGATGTCATCTCACCTCAGTTAGAATGGCTATTATCAAAAAGACAAAAAATAAATGCTGGCAAGAATACAGAGAAAGGGGAACTGCTATACACTTTTGGAAGAAATGTAAATTAATACAGACATTATGGAAAATAGTATAGAGGCTCCTCAGAAAACTATTAGTAGAAGTAGAACTATCCTATAATCCCACAATCCCACTACTGGGTATTCATCCAAAGGTAAAGGAATCAGTATATCCAAGAGATGTACACACCCCTGTGTTTATCACAGCAGTATTCACAACAGGTAAAATATAGAACCAGCCTAAACATTCATCAACAGATAAATGGATAAAGAAAATGTGGTATAGAAACACAATTGAATACTACTTAGCCATAAAAAAGAATGAAATTCTGTCATTCATTATAATGTGAATGAGCCTAGAGGACATTGTGTTATGTAAAATAAGTCATGCAGAGGGAGACAAATACTGCATGTCCTTATTCATATGTGGACACTAAAAAAGTTGTGTTTGTAGAAATAGAGAATAGCATACTGTGTGTGTGTGTATATATATAAATATGTATAAAATATATACATCTATAACATGTAAATATATCATATATAAATAAAATATACACACATAGTATGCTATATAGAGTGTGTATATATATCTATATATATATTTAAAATATACACACACACAGAGTATTCTGCTCTATGTAGATTTTATTTTTGTTTTTTTGAGACAGGATCTCACTCTGTCACCCAGGCTGGAATGCAGTGGCATGATCTCGTCTCACTGAAGCCTCAATCTCCCAGGCTCAAGTGATCCTCCCACCTCAGCCTCCTGAGTAGCTGGTACCACAGATGCACTCTACCATGCCTGGCTAATTTTTAATTTTTGTAGAGACAGGGTTTCCCTATGTTGCCCAGGCTGGTCACGGGCTGTTGGGCTCAAGCGATCTGCCTACTTTGGCCTCCCAAAGTGCTGCAGGCGTAAGCCACTGCATCCAACCTAAAAATAAATATATATATTTTAAAATACATATAATAAAATTGGAAAATAAGAAAATGGATATGATACATAGGCAACACCATGAAGAAGGCTGATGTTAAGCTATTTCAAGCCACAGTTACATACAGTTATATACAGCCACAGAATTATTTATAGTTATATAAAGTTGCCTAAAAATTTAATCCTTAGACCAGGCGCGGTGGCTCATACCTGTAATCCTAGCACTTTGGGAGGCCAAGGCAGGCAGATCCCCTGAGGTTAGGAGTTCGAGACCAGCCTGGCCAACATGGTGAAACCCTGTCTCTAAAAAAAAAAAAAAAAAATTAGTCCTTAGCTTTCTGTCAGGAATACTTCTTTGCATGACTTTTGGAGCACAAGTCTCAGTGTGAATTCTACTCCTTAGAGCACAAATTCCAGGAAGTTCCCTGCCACTAAAGTAAAAAGACATACAATTGGTTTCCAGTGACCCATTGTCTGTGAGGAAACAGCATGCTCTTCTTCAGGATAAACAAAGGTTTTCTTGTCTTGGGAATGAAAGAAATGTTTTACTTGGGTTTTTAATTAGAGATAACCTAGGATATAGTGAACAGAATGTCCTTGATAAAAGTAGCGTCAAGTAAGAATACTTGATTATAATAGTAACATTTATAGTGTCCCTCAAGATAAGCCGAGGACGTTTCCAAAGCACAGCTTATTGAAATCAACTTTACTAAGAACCAAAATGTATGGCACAGGTCTCTGCTATATTAGAGATTACAGTCTAGTGATGTTACCAAATATATACAAAGCAACAAGAAAGTGATTTTAAGAATATATATAGGCCGGGCCTGGTGGCTCATGTCTGTAATCCCAGCACTTTGGGAGGCCAAGGCGGGCAGATCACGAGGTCAGGAGATCGAGACCATCCTGGCTAACATGGTGAAACCCCATCTCTACTAAAAATACAAAAAAAAAAAAAATTAGCCTGGTGTGGTGGTGGGAGCCTGTAGTCCCAGCTACTCAGGAGGCTGAGGCAGGAGAATGGCGTGAACCTGGGAGCGGAGGTTGCAGTGAGCCGAGATCACGCCACTGCACTCCAGCCTGGGGGACAGAGCAAGACTCCATCTCAAAAAAAAAAAAAGAATGACTGTATGTAAATAAGCCTATGATTTTATTGTATAGACTGTGTAGCATAATTTTTAAAAATTTTATCATGAATTGAGATTGCTCCAGAAAGGGTCAGGAAAAAGATCATTAGTATATGTAAAATAAGAATTAGGGAAGTGGATCATTTGGGCAGCAATGCTTTATTATTAGAATTTTTATTTTGTAAGTAATAAAATTTACTAAATTTTATTCTAAAAATACATTTTATTTTTCTAGAAATATACCCAAAGCAATGGACGAAGACCTTTTGGTATTTCTGCCTTAATTGTAGGTTTTGATGATGATGGTATTCCAAGATTATATCAGACAGATCCTTCTGGTACTTATCATGCTTGGAAGGTGAGTCATGAATTTATTAATACTTTTTTTAGAAGTTTAGTAAATATTCAATGTAAATGCTTTATTGCTTTGAGAGACATGACAAAATTATTTTGCATTAAATATTGATGTTGGTACAAACTTCATAAATGTAACTATTCAGCTCATCAGAAACTACAATGATTTTGGTTGGATAAAGAAACACCTTAATTTTGTAAGCGCAAGGTCTTTTGAAAAGATGTGACCAAAGTAAGTGTTTATAGGTGGTCAAGTAAGAGAAATATCCAGTTCCTATTTATTATTATTCCAAATTAATATTGTACCACGTAGATGCTTGCTTCAAGCAGAAATAATCTTTCTACTTTTAACAAAGAATTAGATGGACATTTAAATTCCTACTGAAATATTTAATGCATCTTCTCCATTCTAGGAGTCAGAGCACCCTAAACTATGAATCTATACTCATGTGCTAGTAGGTAGCAATGATCTCTGTATAATTCCTAGCATATAGTTTGTTTTCTGGATAAGTTGTTATTCTTGTTTTGACACCCAACTACAGTAATGACTTTGTTTAATGGTGCACTCAAATCCAATACAAAAGTATAGGGCTCAGCCAGGCATGGTAGTACACACCCATGGTTCCAGATACTTAGGAGGCTGAGACAGGGGGATTGCTTGAGTCCAGAATTTTGAGGTTACAGTGAGCTATTATTGTGTCTCTGCACTCCAGCCCGGGCGGCAGAGCAAGACCCTGTCTGAAAAACACCAAACAAACAAACCGCGCCCGCCCCCGGCAAAAAACACTGCTAGAGCCCAGAGAAACCTAGCTTCCAGGAGTGAATTTTTATACATTCCTATATATAAGAATAAGACTATACTACAGAATCCAATATAAGTGATTTTGACTTTATTAAAAGTTAAATACCCATATTTTAAATAGTTTTCTACAAAGTTGATTTTACTCTTATTAAGAGCCAAATAAATTAGTGGAGAAATATTGCCATGGTCTTTATGCTTGTGTTAAATAAAGAATTTGATTTGTGCTGACCATACTAATAAGATACTATTTTATAAACTGTTAACCAGGCAGTAAAGCAGTGAATTATTCTTACAACAAATATCAGAATACTTATGTCAGTGGAACGTATCCTTTTAATCTGCCTGAGTAATCTAATTAGTAATCAGAAGGTATAGATTTACACGATGCAAGTATCAGACATTTTTTTCCTGTCAACTAGAGATCTCTTACCTATACTAGATTTCTTGTCTCCTAAATCTGTGCCCTAAACAAACCAAGTTACTACACTCAATCTTTAAATATTTTGAAGCCTGCCATCTTCTGTTTGCATTTATCATTACATCATTACCCTTTATTTCTGTAACATAACACAACATTTTCCAGGTTTACATAATTTTTCTGTTTTAATTTAATTGCTTCTTGGGGACGTACAGAGAAGAATTTTATTTTATCTCAGTCAGTTAGGAAAATTATGGAATTTTTTAGTTATTGAGAATTTTGTTGATCATCTTGGTCTGAAACTCTGCTCTGCTCTGGTATCTTCAGTTCTCATGGTGGGACAGGAGGATATGAGCACTGTGCACTCGCTTGCATACATGTGGATACCCCACTGTCTACATTTTATGAAGTGCACTTTCTTATGGGATTTTGGTTGAAGGAAATATTATGCAGCTTTTAAAAAAATCATCTTTAACAAAAAACATTTGAAAACCTTTTTTATTTTATGTATTTGGCAACTGAGATTTAGGGGTTAAGTGATTTTTGTTGCTGTTGTTAAGTTTACCTTCCCAGCCTGGTGTGGTAGCTCACTTCTGTAATCCCAGCACTTTGGGCAGCCAAGGCAAAAGGATTACTTGAATGCAGGAGTTTGAGACCACCCTGGACAATGTAATAAGACCCCACTTCTACGAAAACAATTTTAAAAATTAGCCAGACATTGGTGGTGCACACCTGTGGTCCCAACTACTTTGGAGGCTAACGTGGAAGGATCACTTCAGCCCAGGAGTTTGAAGCTCCAGTGAGCTAGGATCATACCACTGCACTCCAACCTGAGTGACAGAGCGAGACCCTGTCTCAAAACAAAAAAGTTCACATTCCTAGTTAATAGCAATATTGAATTAGAATTCAGAGTGTTCTATTTATTTCATTCTATGTTGTTTGCCTTACATCATGCTACTTCTGATTTAGCATTTTTAGGCCAAATTTTTTACGTCAAATTATTTTCTGTGCGTGTTATATAAATTCTAATATCCATTCTTGGAAGGTGGAATACAATCTTCTGACTTGATTCTACTTCTGGGAACTGTAACATTTTAACTATGAGATCAAGTTTTTCTTTTTTTTGTTTTGTTTGTGTCTATGTTTTATTTTTTATGTCTGTTTGTTTTTTGCTCTGACATACTATACCAAGTAACCTGGTAAAATGTTGCAATAGACTGTTGAGAACACAGCTATGGTACTGACCATATTTTGCAATGCTATTTTGTAGGCTTATGAGGTACAGGTAGAGGAAAAGATAGAATGGGTAGGAGAAATAGGAAGTTATGCATGTAAACTGTGGCCACATGACCTGTTGCAGAAATGAGAACAGAAATAGCCAATACCAGCACTTGGGTTTTTTGAGGTTCTCTACCTGGCATGTAACACAAATTTTATTTATGAAGACTAGGCCTTTAATGATCCTGCCCTAATGGGTAGTAGTGCCTTCCATTAACTTTTTTCACTTTACAGGGGAATGCTAAGAGAAGCCTCCAGAAAATCCTTTGAATTTTAGATACCTCCTCCCTGGTCTTATTGTATAATGGTAACTTTATTCCCATTGATAATGAAAACAAATTATACTGTCGTTACAGTAACCCCTTATTTGCCTGTTGGTTCAATAACATGAGGAGTCCAAATCGGCTAAGTGGCAATCTTAGCTCATAGTTCAGTGAAATTATTATGTCCCCTGATAGAAACATCCACCCCACTTATCTCCCTTTATTTTCCTTGGGAACTAGAACCTTGAAACTAGCAGAACCAAGTGGGGACAAAAGACAAAGACTTACAAGTGGGCCATTAAGGGTATTCATGAGGGCCGGGTGCGGTGGCGCACGCCTCTAATCCCAGCACTTTGGGAGGCCGAGGCGGGCGGATCACGAGGTCAGGAGATGGAGACCATCCTGGCTAACACGGTGAAACCCCGTCTCTACTAA